CACGAGTGTGCATTTTGATGGAGGCCAGGGTCAATCCTGACCCATGACCGACTGCGACCCAGAATGTTGGGTATCCAGTGTGCGTTACACGCAGACCTGGGTCTGGGTTGGTTTTGGAGTGCATGTTTACCCTTGGTAGGCACTTCCATGAAAGGATACCGAGCAGTGAATATGGTGTGACGGTTTGAGGATGGAAACTGATTGTGGGCCTGGAATGTATGAGTAGTTAGTGATCCATTTTAGTTATTAACTGATATTAACTGAAGTACAGTGTTTTGGAATGTAAGCTTGTGCTGTATTTGCAAGGCTGGGTCACAAACTATACTGAAGTGGCGGTTATGAAATGGTGGACTGGTCAAACTGGGTTCGGCATAGTCTGTTGTGTATGTCTGACCAACTCTGGTATATAGATAAGCTATAACGCCTAATTTTGGAAGGTGTTGCTATTTATAACCGAGGGTGGCAGGTCCACTTATGGTACTTCACTTACCACCACCTGTACGGCTGCACGTACGGTGAAAAATGTACTGGTGTCTTTTTCTAGATCACGATTGCAGCCAACTGCATGGGAGTACTCAGAACCCGCTTACGCTGGCTTTGTGTTCGAACGCGTGGAGTACTGCCATTGCAAGTGCACTAAACTGTTGTCATTTGTTGCTGATGTGACAGTGCCTATCCGAACGTCTCCCATCTGCGTTCATCTTCAAGCATCATTCACGTTTTTGTTCCCATTTTCAAGGATGGTGCGACACGCCACAAATGACCACTTCTAGTATGAATGCGCAACGATGCGTTCGCAAATCGACAGCAATAATTGGAGGTGCGGTCCCTTATGTGAGTGCCATTTACTGTTCATCGCTTTGCGACCAGGGGCGAATACGGGGGCTAACATACGCCTGTTGCCGTATGGCATGGTGCGCTTTCCAACGAGCAACAGTGAGTGTGCATTGAGTTGCACCAATTGGAGATGCCTGCCTTGCAAGTGTGCTCTGGTCTCTGTACATGGGGGCACGTTCGTGTTCCAACCATCTGTCAGACGGGCGACGCACACACAACACATCCGACATCATCGGAGGTAAATATCGTGAACACATTAAATCACCACGCTCTGTACAAGAACGATCGTTCAGGCCGCGATTGCACAGCCACTCGAATCCTTGGGCGCTTCAGCCTTCGGCACGCTCAGCGCTGCCGACTTCATGGGAATTCGTTATGGACAATCTTCCACGAAGCGCCTTATTGCCACAGAGAAAACTGCCCTCCAAACCTCGCGTCGTCGCCTTTATCTCCCGAAGCGGCACCCGGACATGACACAAGTCCGGGTGGGGGGCGCGACCAAAACCGCAACCAGAGGGCCGCTCTCATCCATGCCGCTTTATTCCAATCACACGGGATCACCCGTATCCCGCCTCGCTGCCCATGTGTGTGTGTGTGCCTTGGTTGTCGTGGACAGCATCGAAAAGTGCTTCCACCAGTTGGCCCCTCGCGCCAGGGGGACCTCCAGCGCGCTCAGGCCACCCGAACGTCATTATGTGGTGGCCGCACTCGTGCCGCGTTATTTCGCGGAGTCCGTCCGCGGTCCCTTGGGCGGCTGCCCGGTGCAGTTGGTTGCCTTGCGCGACGGCCACGCGCTGCCCTCCTCTGCCCTTTATCTTCTCCTCCACCCCCATGGCGTGGGTTGTCGGGGGTCTTCAGTTCGCCGAACCCCCCTCGCTGCTCCCAGCAGCGGCACACAGACGGTGCCGGATCCTTATTTGCAGATTCGCAGGCGGGGCGTCGGCCTGACAATCGCCCGCATGCCCCATTCTTATCCCCTTTCGCCAAATGCCGCATGCAGCAGCCTGCCCAGGCCCTGGTCCGTGGGACGGACTTCTAGCACATGGTCGCCGTGCAGAATGTGCCAGCGCCTTATTTTCCAGTGAATCAATGGCGTGTGTGCAAGCCCTCCGCAAAGGATGCGCCCTCACCTCGATCCAGAAGTGTACCATGTGCCATCCCTGAGAACCTGACTTGTAAAGCGGGCGCACCGCAGGGCTGCTCAAGTTGCAAATCACCATCCGCCCATTTATTTGTATTTGGCCTTCTTTGCCAAGCCGCAGCCTCTCCTATGACAGTACAATGAACTAAAATACCCTATGAAATACCCAAATCGCTTTCCAGTGGAGCACGTCATCAAAATCTGTGGGAGCCAGCAACCAAAAGCCCGCCAATCTCACACCTCATGGATGTGGCGCCGAGTTCAAGAAGTCCCCAACGTAAAAACGTAACAAATGTATAAAGTTCCTTATGTTTTGAGTTCAAGCCCTAATCCTGGCAGTCTGAAGGGCAGAGAGGCTGCCTTACTGATCGCTTCAACGCAAGGGCCTCACCTTATCAGCACTCTGCAGTGTGCGAAAGTCGTCACCGCCCATCAGCAGTGAAACACAGCCGCGAAGCCGTGGAGAGAAGCGAACTCCGCAGTTCTCTGCCCTGTCTACCGAGTCACAGATCCCAGAAGGGGGACCCGCCCGCCAGAAATTGGGCGGCCGGCAACCCAACCGGGCGTTCTTGCGGCAGATGATTTATGTGACTTTATGTTGCTGCTGCGAGCCACCAGTCCACGACCCCAGCCTCCGATTATCTATAGCAGCGACACGTGCTCGACGCCGCTGTGCGAGTTCACCCGAATCCTCCCCTCGGAACACGCATCCTCCCCAAGCTCCTCCCCGTCGTCTAGTTTATGACCCGGCGACACAAACTACAAGCCGCCTAGGACTGCGACCTGCTCTGCTTCCCCTCGGATTCCCCGTCATCGCCAGACTGGCGCCCGCCCCTGCTGCCCTCCCCCACCTGCGCGTTGGGCCTCAGCGACTTCCAGTACGGCAGTAGCGCCGTGGAATCCGCCTCCATGTCCTTCCGCACCGTCTTCAGCTTGGCGCCCTGCTCCGTGAAGTAGCAGATGGCACAGAAGTGCTCCGTGGCGCTGTCGTCCCCACTGAACGTAAACAGCTTGGGCGCCACGTCCGCCTTCCACGTGCGAACCAGCCCGGTGATCCAGTTCACGTCGTCCGCTTGCGTGGGAGATCGTTGGTGCATCGCCTTGAACCCCAGCGCCTGCAGCTTGCGGACGCACACCGGGGCGTCGCCACGCTCGGTCTTCCAGCACACCCTGTGGCCCAGCGGGCATCCCAGCAGCTCGTTCTCCCCGCGGCATGCCCTGCAGACGACGCAGGTCACAGGATTCCTGGTGACCCCCACGGGCGGTCGCCACTCCCTCGAGGGGCTGTACACCACGTCGCCAGCCGCGGTGACCGGGACCGGGGCCGAATCGCCGCGCACGGCGGCCACGGCCAGGGGGGGGAGGTGCGGGACGCCGGTCCAGACGTAGGGAGGCGCCCCCGAGACGGGCACGATGACGGGGCCCACACGGCCGACCGGCACGGGGGCGTGGGGAGAGGTGCAGACGGGCTGGTCCGCGCCTGGGAGCAACACAGACAGGCCCACGGTTTAAGCAATCGAGCGCCGTCGAACGTCGCGCACATTGAATATGCAAAGGCGCAACTGTAGAACAACCGCCGGTTTGGAACTACAAATATGTACTGATGCATTTGCATTTGTGCCATTTGACCGTACTTCGCCTGTGGGCAGTGGGCAATTTTGTCATTTTGTGCGTCGACGAGATGGCAGCACGAGGTGCCGTGTCACAGGGGCAATTCGTCCATTCCGACATTCAACAACGATGTACAGGCGATCCCAGAGGAGGATCGCAGGTGCATTGCGGTCCTGGTTGACGGTTTGCTAACAGAACAGGGACGGCAGATTTTAAGGGCGGCTGAATTGCTGGTGACATGAGCCTGGCTTGTTACGTACGCCGCAAACACAGATCGCATTTACATTTTGTGCGTAAAGATAGATTTTATGTTTTTACACGTAAAAGCGCATAAAAATACGTAAATACAACGTAAATACAGCCCCTTGTACATAAGGACAGTACATACAGCCTTTGGGAGTACGGGAAACAGCAACCAGACGCGCTGCAATGGACAGAAAACGAACTTTTGCTCCACGCCGTCGTGGACCTTACCGAGTGCGAAGTCAACGCTGTGATGCAGGTGCTCGAGGACGTGGAGGACTGATCACTGTGGGCGATTCTTATCGTGTTACCTCGGCGTCATAACGAGCCGTAAAAATGTATACACAGCTGTAAGAACAGCCCTTCTACAAATTTACGTTTTCACGTGTAAATCCATAAGCGTAAACGTAAGTTACAAGCCTGGCATGAGCTACGTGGCACTGTCCTGCAGTTGTGCTAGGCTTCAAAAAATTGGCCAATTGCGATGAGAAACGAAACATCTTGTGCGCAACGTTCCCCGGATGCATCGCACGAAACATCTTGTGTGCAACATTTCCTGGATGCATCGCCCTTTGTATCCCGTTCCCTCCAAACCACCTACATGCCTGCGCGTACTCAAACACACACGCATTGCCCCCGCCCGCTCACGCCCATCGCTGGAAGGCCGCGAACGCGTGAGTGTGGTTGAAAGCAGGCCGCCTAAAGGACGCGAGAATGCTGAACAGGGAAGATTGCATGAACAGATGGCTGACGGCTCACACCAGTGATGGTTAGTATGCGAATCAGGCCTTGATGGCAATATTCACTGGAATCCGCGGCATGAGTGTCGTAGCCCGCTGGACGGCCCGTGGGGTGGACCAGCGAGTGAGCAAGCGAGCGAATGCGTTTGAAAGCAGGCGGCGGAAGGGAAGCGAGAAAGCTGAATAAGGAAGAGCGCGTGAACAGGCGGCTGACGGTTCACACCCATGATCGAAATGTGCAATCACGTTTTGAGGAATGATTCACGCTAATTCGCGGTGGGCGCGTCGCACGCCACGGGGCACGGCTGTCCAAGGGCACGACTAAGGGAATGACGCTGACAGCTCTCTGCAAAAGGCGTGCAAACACGCTGAGCAGGGAAGATTGGGCGCAACGAGAGCTGACGGCTCACTCGAATGATTTGCACCCATCACATCAGAGGGTGACAGAAGGGTTCAGTGCACTCGGCGCTGCGAGTGTCGAACGCCACCGTGAAGCACTTGCGACACGCGAGAGGGCTGCGTCGCGGGGCGGCGCGGACACCCGGGCGCGCAGAGCCCCGAGTCAACACGAGAACTGCACCACCTCTCCGGCCCCTTGCCCACTCCGCGGCGATCTCGCGTCGATTCCACCGTTCGTCGAACCCACCCGTCTTCAGGCGCGGCGCTCCCGCCGCCTCGGGCATCAGCTTGGGCCCCAGCCTCCCCACCCTGAGCTCCTCGGGGTCTTCCTTGCGCAGCAGCATGAGGATCGGCTGGCCGGTCGAACCGGGGGCGGCAGGCGCGATGGACGCTGTGGGGACGACAGGCACGGCCGGCGGCGCCGGCGCTGCGGGCGGCGCAGGATCGGTCAGTCGCCTCAGCAGCGCCTCCAGGCGCTCTCTGTCCTCCGGGCGCACGTCTCCGCGCTCCATGCGCCTGCCGAAATCCCCCACGTCCGTGTCCATTTCCTTGGCCGCGATGCGACCTGCCAGCGAATGCAGATTTCAGCGCTGGGCGGGGCCGGATTCGGGCCGGATGGCCTCGGAGCCGCGCGCGTCGAGTCGTTCCCCGGAGTGGGGGGTTGGGGCCCAGACGCGAGTTTAAGGGGGCGGGGTGGGGCGGGGCGGTCGAGGGCTCGAGGGCGGTGCCTGGTGTTCGTTGTGAGGGAGGAGGTTACGTACCTTCCACTAGTGAATTGGTAAGGGCGAGCAGTCTGACTTCAACTTTGACGCGCTTCGGCCCTGGGGAACGCACGTTCATTATCGGTGAAGGTTCAAGAGCGGAAGCACGGCATGCAATGGGCACCCTCGAGCGCAAAATTGTTCGCTCATTGTGGGTGACATGATGAGGAGAGAGAATCTGCGACGACGAGTTTCGAGACTCACAAGCGCCTGGGATGTCCAGGCGGAACGCACAAGAAAATTTTCCTGCCAATGTTTTCCTCCCAAGGTTTCCTGTCTCTGGAACCGCCAGCAGAAGGGAGCAATGCTCATGAACAACAGGCGCAGAGTCGCACGCCTCTGGAACAGCGCACGCGGAGTATGGGGAAGGACACAGACTTGCGCCGGACTGTTGTGATATGAGGTTGACAGCTGTTTGAGGCGGCGCAGGCCCCTGTGTTTGCCCTTCCAAAGCACTGCTTGAACTTCTAGACTTAAACATCTCCCCGCTGGCTGTGGGGCTCCGCTTTCTTTGGTCCCCGACGCTCTCACGTATGTTTCTACATACTTCCCATATCCTCGTGTTCCTCCACTTTTGCGTAGCACACGGGAACGCAAAGGCACCAGTTGCTGCAGGGCACCACCTCCAGCGCAACGGGAGCACACAACAACCCCTCTGCACAACTGCGGCAGTCGTTTTCTTAACAGTTTGGGCTCGCGGCACGCCAGCCTGAGAGAGTGGGCGGCGGTCGGGTGCGGCGGTTGGACTCCAAACGGCGGCACGGCTGACGCCGTTTATGTCACATCGCTCAAACATCCAAAGTCCCCAGACGCCACACGCGGCACCAATTTTCGCGGCCCGCGCCCCACCAAAGCCCTGGAGGCGCCTTTCAGTCGGGCCGGGGATGAGTGAGCGTCCCAGAACTTCACAGTGACGTTTGCCCGAAATCACTCCCATTCATCGCCTCATTGGGCACCCCCCGCCCCGGTGACGTTACCCGCGGCCCGCCCGCCTCACCTGGTACAACAACCGGTTGCTCATCGGCTAGGGGTTCGAGGGTCGAACCCCCGGGCACCTCGGGCGCCCCCCGCCCCCCGGGGACTCCCGCCGCCACGCGCTGCCGCCTGCCCTCCCCCGCCAACAAATCTGCCACAGGGCCAGCGGATCCGCCCTCAGCACCCGATCGCCCAGGCCGGCACGTCCCACGCCCGCCCCGCGCGGGGTGCCAATCGCATCCCTCCCCCCACCCCCCACCCACCTTCCGGGACCTGGACCTCGGCATCTCGGACCACAAGCTCCTCTACCGGCGCCTCGGGCGCCATGGGCAGCCGGACCCTCACCCCTCCCAGCCGAATTACGCGAAAGCCGTGCGGCTCCATCGCCTGTACTTTGGGCCCGGTCCTCAGAGCGGCCTTGTCCACGGGGGGCCGTCCGGCGGGCGGTGCCGGGGTCGCGACGGAGCGGGCGGCCCTGCGGCAGCGGGCCAGGGTTTGTTGGCGGCCGAGAGCTGGCGGGAAAGCCCTGTGCCCAGCGCAAGCAGGGTGGGTTCATACTTTAAGGCAGGTACTGCCCCCCTGGGCGCCACGATTGATTATGTGCGGTACCCACATCATTGGAGGCGGTCCCCACGTCAAATCCGCGCGACAGGTCGCGGGGAGCCGCCGCGTGATGGGATCGAGAAAAGCCCCCCGGAGCCCAGCCGCCCTGAAGCGGCTGTCAAGCGGGTGGGTGCGGGTTGGCGCTGCGCCCCGCGCCTACCGGTGCGCCAGCTGTACAGCCCCAATTGGCCGGCGACTGACTCGGGCCCCGCCGGTGAGCTTCGGAAAGATCGCCGCAATGGGGGGCAATGGGGCGGCGCTGTGCGCGGACCGCGGCGCTCATGGGGGTGCAGCGACCGAGATGGGTAGTATGCGGGTGCTGCTGATCGGGTCGGGAGCCGAACGGCAAAAATCCGCGAGCATGTTTTCGGGCATGCTTGCCGGGGGGGAGGGAGAGGGGAGCCGCGGACAATTTTGGGGGGTGCTCGGATGTGCGCGGCGGCTTGCGAGGGAGCGGGGCTGTGGGGCGGGGTGTCGTTGGGGCGGGGGGTGCGCGCGGGCGCGAGTACCTTTGGTCGACGGCGCCGATCGAGGGAGGGCGTTGCTCAGCCGCGCGCCACGGACGGCAGGGGCAATGATCCCTGGAATACGACAGTTGTGGGGACAGTTGTCGGGGTACCCGCAGTACTGTATGGTACGTACGACTGTACTGTAATAAGCTCGAATTGGCATCGCGGCGGGGCTGACTGTCATTATGATCCGTGATGTATCTCGTGGACATGTTGCCGTCACAAGGGCCCACACGGCGGGCGGGGGCGGGCCGACGCCTCGTGTGGTTAGACGACATGGATGAGAATACGACATTCACGCGACGCGGTTGCGGGCGCAAATGTGCATTGCAACCTACTCAGCCATCAATCAATAATATTACATAAGGTTGAAGGCACTCACGACTGCACAGTACTCGTCGGGACGTCCGGGTGAGGGCCGGGGCCCGTGGAGCCTCACGTGACTGATGGCGAGGGGGGGCCGTAGCGCCCCATACGGGCGCTAACTACGTCTCCGCATCTGCTCGTGCGTGCTGGCATGGCGGAGATGGTGGGACCCCACACCAATCATTCCCCGCACACACTCATACCATCGGCTGGCATGCCTGAAATGGTAGCGGCTCCACTCTTTTGCAGGGATGGATAGAGTGACGGGCGTCGTTGGAGGGCACTGAGTGCCCGCTGACCCTCTAGTCGTGGGCCCCAAGGATGGCACTGATGCGCGAACTTCACCAACGCTCGGCCTCTGCCGACCTTAGCTTGCGACCTCGTGGCCTGTGGGCCTCGCAGCGCAAGGTGGACACAGGGTGGTCTCTTGCAGGGGCAACATGCCAAATTGTAGCGTCGTGGGTGCCGCGGCACCAGTTCCGCATTGTGTGACGCACACAACACAGCCATGGGAGCGCCCCTCCGGGCAACCATTCTGGAGGACCCCTTTCCTCCATAAAGGCATTGTAGCACGAATGGCTGCCAGTGCTCGAAAAGAAGTCCGCGTCTGAATTAGGAATGCGGCATTTGGCCTGAAGTATCGCTGCATCTTGAGCAAGCGGGTCACTGCCTCCACACTGGGACGAGTGTGTGTTGCCACGGAAAACAGTCGCTTCAACGTGAGATGGTGATAATGTACGAAATGCTGTTGCATTTTCAGCCTCTGGAGAGCTGCCCCTGCATCCAGCACCGCATGAGAAAAAGTGGACTAGTCAGAAGCTGTGCTTCAGATGGTATTGTTCCATTTGGTATGGCTGCACAGAGCACGAAGGCGCAACGTAATTGTATGCTACTGCAGTTAATTAACCTAAGGTAATATTGCATTGTAACATTTGGAGCATGTATTGCCAACCAAACATGGAAACAGCTTACAAGAGGGTCTCTGACCGCCCTGACACCCATTCTGACAATTTGATCCCAACAGACCTCGCACAACAGCGTTGCAATAATGCGCTGGAATCACCACGATGGCTTGATCACCGGCTGATGCGTTATTCATCAATGGTGCCGAAGACTCGAAGATTTTCGGAGGAACGCGTCCTGTGTCATCGAGGCCAATGTGCGTGCCTCAGAGCAGCATCCGCGCACATGCCAGGAGCAATGCCATATGAAGGATGCGCTCGGCGGGGAGCGAGTGAAAAGCCCCTCATGAACCACCTTTTTTTGTCCGCTAAGGCGAATTGCCGCTTCAAAGTCAAAAACGCTCAACCTTGGTTTTACGTATTCATTAGATGGCATCTAATAGATGGCCAAGGAAAGGGATGCGAGTGGAAGTGGTGCCAGGAATCTCAAGCAAAAATTTGGAGAATTGTTGGATTGCGTGCACACGAACACTCTCAGAATTGAGTAATGGCTTGCAGCAATATGTCAAAGTGGTTCCCATTAATGTGGAGGAAAATCGATGGGCTCTGCAAGTGCAGAAGCATTTGGAGTGCGCCAAATGAGGATCAGTCGCAATTCGCCATTTTACAGGCTTTAAAGCGCACCGTAGCTCAACGCTTTTCAAAGCAGCGGGGAATCCAAAGATTAACCTGCACACAACTCCACGCTATACATATCCATGGGGATACAACTGCACTTTCTGACGGCCCACAAATTTCGGTTCAAAGATTATTGAAAGCACGCGCATGTTGGCAGCACAATTGATGGCTGGCACATTAGTTAGAAAGGTAATGCAGCCGTCTGCTATCAACAAATCGGTTGCACCTACCGATCTCAGAATACAATAACGATATCATGTTCTCTGTCTTGAAGCAACGTGAAACAGGGCAGTTCCGGCTTAACGTTACAAAGGCAGGCCACCAAGAGGCCCTTTGGTCCAGCAGGATATAGCGACTGGTGTCGGGCGAGGCCGCTCTAAAGAATGCTTGCAGTTGTGTTCACCCACAGCATTCCCAATCGTGGCTGGCATGGAGTTGGGTACCACCCACCCTGGGACCGCTGCAACCATCAATTGCTCATGTTCATCATGCGCAGCACGAGGAGCAATGCCTTGACGATCCCATTGTCTATTTGTTTTAGATTTGACTGTCGCGAGGCAATCCCTTCCATTCTGTCCAAACTTGGGGGGCGGTTGGCGCCTTTGTCTCTGGGAAGTCAGTTCCATTCTTTCTTTTGAACGCCGGCCAGGTGATTAGCCATCGCCGGTGCGCTTCAAGAATGCCTTTGTGGTGGTTCAGGCTGATAACAGGCCCGGGTTACAGCCCTGGCAGAACCTTTTCCAGGTCGTTGGATGCTTCCTTCTTTATTGT